TGTGAAGCGAGCCCTGGTGAGGTGTGGAACCCACGGTCGGTGCTGATCGTACGTAGACCGGTCTTGCGCGCGGGTTACTTAGTGAAGTGCAGTGTATATATGGTGATAGAACAGGATAGTCCCTTGGAGGAAAAAAGTCACTCCAGCTGAGTGGACAGTGACGGAAAGGGGACGGAGTGCGAGATCTGGACGGGGTTTTGCAGTGTAATGGGGAGGGAGAGATGCAGTACGGGTGACGGTGCGAGGGTACTAAAGCGTACGATGACAGGGGCGGCAGGAGTGCGCTGACAGGGGTTCGGGGATCGCAAACGACGGTGGCAGGGACTCTGTGACAGTCTTGTAGAAGACGCGGAACGCAGGAGAGGAGCGAGGTTAGGTGGTTGTGGGACGGGCGGGGACGGCGCGCGGTTGACTGTGCGACGCCATTTGACCTCTTTGTAACTTTCAAGTGGACGATATGACGATGAAGTAGGGCATTGTGACGGCATTTGTTTGGCATTTGACCGCGTCGCTGACTTAGTTACGGTGTGACTGGTGCTTTCAGGAGGCAGTAACGGTGCAGCGAACCTTGGAGAATCGGTGGAGGATGTGTGCGTGTGCACGTGTGACGGTGTTTGACCTGTTTAACGGACCGACCCTGCCAATTCAGTGGCACCGAATTGTTCATATTTAAGGCATTAAGTCATTATCGCATGCTTGGCAGGGCTAACGGGGGTGCAGTTAATGGATGGCAGAGGTTTGGACTTTTCCTTGTTGCTGCTGAGCGACACGTGACGTTAGGTTAGGTCTGTAGGGAACTCGGGTAAAAAGCAGGGCGTTTAAACGGCCTGCTGTGTAAAGTGGGGGAAAGTGAGATAAGATAGCACGGTTAGCTTTGATAAGGAATTCGCAGGGGCTTGGGCGTGGGCGGCGGTGTGGGTACACGGCGATCGGATCATGTGACGTCATGCGGTCTTCCGTCGGGAGATTGTATGTCGGAGAGATCTACGGAAAGTGGTGCTGGATGCGAGGATTAGCTGAACCCAGGAAAGTGAACTGCAGGTCATTAAGATGTCATTTTGTCAAAGAGAACAAGTGTCAAGTGTTTTGAGTGACAGCTCGCTCGTTGTCGCGGCGTGCTAAATAATGTGATTTTCAGCTACATTGTATCGAGAAGTGGTGTCGAGTGTTGTGAGCGAGTGTTTCTTGAGGAAGATGTGTATCACGTGTCTCCACAGAGTTGATACATGTCTGTTCCTTAGCAGTGTTTAATCGGTGTGGTGATTTCGCAGATTACCGTCTCCATCCTGCGAGGATTCCCTTATCCACTGAGGATTTCCGTTCCCCTTCGTCCCATAGCGGGATCTTGCCCCAAGCAGGCTCAGGGAGAGTCTGACCTGCAGTGTGTGTGGATTTCGTCGGATTCACGCGAAGATATTCAGCGGCGCGGGAGTGAGGGTGTGTCAGTGTTCGCCCCCGAGTGTAGGGAAACCTATCGGGAGGCCCCAGTGTTTTAGTGAGGATTACTGTTCACGAGCAAGGATTCCGTTATTCGCTGAGGATTACAACCTGTACGCCAAGGATCTCCCGCCATTCAGCGAGGATTTGAGTGTCCACAAAGGGTCACCGTAATTGCCCAGGAGAATTCCGAACGCCATTGAGGGATTCCAGGATCCAGTAAGTATTCCAGAGACAGACTCCATTCCCGGTCTCGGACTTTATCTTTCATGTTTTGTTTCTGCTCGGCTGAGGTGGGCTCGCGCGCCCCTTTGGACGCGGGCAGAAGATTCGGCGGCCGCAGACGAGGCTGACCAGCTGTGACCACGTGGACGGCGAAGCCCTTCGACGGCGGCGGCGGCGCTCGCCCTGGCTTCGCGCTCCGCCGCTCGTGCTGAGGCGACTCTTGGCCGACCGGGCGCTTTGTGGACTCTGTTGCTGGTCCTCTTTCGCCGGCCCTGTTTCCAGTCTCAGTAATAGGGGCAGGTTTTATCAACTCATCATTTTATCTCGAAAATTTGGTTGTTTTTGCCACGTCGACAGAATCACTCCGCCAACGCACACGAGGCTAAGCGGCAGTCGCTTTTCCTTTGGTGCTGGGCGCTGTTTCCCCGCCGTCGGGCCATGTGTAACGTGTGCGGGAAGGGCAAGGTTTGAGGGCGGATCAATAGAGGTTGGAGTGAACACCGCCAATATGGTCACGAGGGGCAGCTCGAGTGCCGACATTCTTTTCGCAGTATTGATTTCGAAATTCTTATCAGCCATGGGTTGTTATTTTCGACTTACCCGGCACAGATAGCGGGGCCATTATCAGCTGCGGTCATGTTTTTATTCTGGTTGTGAAGCCCGAATATTTATTAGAGATTTCAGGTCCCGCTCTTTTCCGGCCTGATGCCGGGGCCGTGTAGGATCACCAGATCCCGGAATCAGTCGCTTCTCCAACGCGGCCGTTACAAAGGCCGCGTTAGTGTAAACAAGAGAATAACAACAGCAATACAAACATTGAACAGCAGCGACCATGCGGCCGCGACCAAGCCGAAGTTTTTCCCTCGTCAGCGCGGCCGCCGCACTCGCCACCTGTGCCTCAACAGCACCCGGGCCATCAGCGCGGGCATCAGCGCCAGCCATAACCGTGATCACAACCTCAACAACCGCAGTTTACCTCTGGTGCTGCCGCCGCCGCCACTCCCATCAGCGTTATGAGGCGGCCGGGTCTACGCGGGAAGCAATAGAGACTATTACCACACGTTCCTGCAATCCCAACCCTAAGTGGAAGATAGAGACGATAAAATTGCAATTCAATCACGTTTGGACTCTGTTCTCGTGACCCTTTAGCGCACGCGCTCTGAGGTACGATATATGTGTGTGTGTGTGTGTGTGAGAGAGAGAGAGAGAGAGAGAGAGATTGGAGGAAATTTATATGATGCGAGTACGCACAGTAGGCGTGCGTTTCCCCACAAAGAAACGGTGCCCATATACCTTCCAGGACGGTGCTATTGCCGTTTTAGGCGATTCTTCTGCAGTCCATGTTGAATTGTACCCCCATTTTTCTTTAAAGAAGATTTATAGATCTTAAATCGCAACACGTACGAATCCTTGACCGTAAAATGCAAATGAAATCTCGTCCCCCTTTTCAACGCAGCAACCATTCCTTCACACTTTGCACTCACTACACCAAAATAAAGTCACCACGAGCACCAGAAAAAGATACACCTCAACCACCATCCACAACGACAAGAACTAAAATCACTATCACCAGGAACTTTTTCCCCTGGTTCTTGGGGTGTGAATGTTATTGTGGTTGTAAAAGTTTTTTATACAAGGAAAGAATTTTAAGTTGGCGTGCTGATAGGATTGTTTCCCATCGATATTTATTGTATGGGATTATGATTTCCTTTTGGTTTTATGGTTTACGGTATATCTGGAGAGAGAGAGAGAGAGAGAGAGAGAGAGAGAGAGAGAGAGAGAGAGAGAGAGAGAGAGAGAGAGAGAGAGAGAGAGAGAGAGAGAGAGAGAGAGAGAGAGAGACACAGACAAGAAAAATAACAAAAAGAACAGACATATAGAAAGGAAGAGATACATAAAGACTGGAGGAAGAAAAAATAGAAAAGAAAGCAAGAAAGAGAGAAGGGAATAAAATCGAGTGAAAGAGGAAGAAAGATGGAGAGCGTGAGGGTTGTATAAAAGAGCCAGTGTCGTTCTCTCGGAGTACTTAAAGGTGAGGAGAGTGCTTGAGAGGCAGGGCGAGAATTCGGGTGCTCGCCAGTGGGCAAGAGTGAGCATACCAGCCTCTTGTTAACCTAGGAAATAACTCGGGTATCTGTAGCCTTCCTCTCCACCCGATCGACGCGGCTCCGAACGCTTCACGCGATACTCGGTCCGGCACTTTATTTCGCGGGACACTTTACGTCAGTTTTGCCCGCCTAACCTTCGCGAGGCATTGCGCCACTTGCCTCTCCTGAGGAAGTGCGGCGCGGCGAGTTATGACACGCTGTTGGGGGGGAACTCGTGTGTGTGTGTGTGTGTGTGTGTGTGTGTGTGTGTGTGTGTGTGTGTGTGTGTGTGTGTGTGTGTGTGTGTGTGTGTGTGTGTGTGTGTGTGTGTGTGTGTGTGTGTGTGTGTGTGTGTGTGTGTGTGTGTGTGTGTGTGTGTGTGTGTGTGTGTGTGTGTGTGTGTGTGTGTGTGTGTGTGTGTGTGTGTGTGTGTGACGAGAATAATAACGATCTTTATTTTTGAAAAAAGAAGATACTGCACGTTATTCTAATAGAAAGGACCAGGGAAGAGGAAAATTTGTACATAACGTTAATTTGATCTTAGTCTAACAACATGTCCTGGCTTGAAGGATGAAAGTAAACAAGCAAATGACTACAATGGACCTCCAGATAGTTTAAAGCTGAGAGGAGGAGGAAGACGAGACAGAGAAAGAGGGAGGGAGACGAGAGATAGAAAAGGAGGGGCAACATAGAAAGAGAGAAAATTAGAGAGACAAAGGTGATAAAAGGCGAGAGAGAGAGAGAGAGAGAAGCAAGCAAGCAAGCAAACAAAGTAAAGAGAGAGAGAGAGCGAGTGAGCAAGCAAGTAAAGTAAAGGAAGAGAGAGAGAAAAAGAATATAGCAGAATATGTATACCCAGAGAGAGAAACAAATAGAAGAAAAAAAGGGAAAACGAGACGGGCTCCTTAAGAAACGCGGCCGTTGAATGAATAGCACAGTGCAAAGATGTGACGCGCTCGGCAGAAGAAATTAGCATGAAACTCGAGTCGGACGAAGTTTTCATCCGCGTTAGCATAAGAATCGTTGCGAGTTACTTACCAAATGGCGGGTTACCTTCTTAAGCAACTTGGAACAAACGCACCTGGATTTTTTTCTTCTTCTAAGCGAAGGAAGGTGAAGTTATTGGGTTTGCGTTGCGTAATATATTGTGAGGTGAGAGATAAACAAACGAGCTTGGTTAGTGTAAAGGGTCTCTCATTCAGATGTTTGGGTCTTTGGTCCCTCTGTGCGGCTTGTTATTAGACCAGTCCGTCTGTATGCGAGTCTGTTCATCAACCATGCCTGTCTGTTCTGTCTGTGTGTTTATCTATTAGTCCTTCGTAACTCTGTCCGTATTACGTATCAACCAACCATTCATGTCTGTCTACTTGTTGGAGTATCTATCTATCAGACTGCCTGTCTGAGTATCTATTGCCAACGTATGTTTGTCTGTCTTTTTGTCTGCAGTATTATTGAGAAACTCAGTCTATCAAGTAATAATTTCGGTTATGCCTTGTGAATTGGCCGGGTCTGTTTGCGTGCGTGCAGAAGAAACATCACGGGCCAAAATTCAGCACGGACCATAATTCACCACGGGCCAAAACTCATTACGGGCCGAACTCAACACGGGCCAAAACTCAACACGGACCATAATTCACAACGGGCCAAAACTGACCACGGACCAAAACTCATTACGGGCCGAACTCAACACAGACCGAAACTCATCACGGACCGAAACTGTATCGCCGAGGATAGCCGACAGGAAGTGAATAATGGAATCTGTCGTTGTATCTTATCTCTTCCTTCCTCCCCCTGCCTCCTCTTTACTCTTTCTACCCTCCTTCTGCCTTCCACCTGATTCTTTCTCCAACCCCCCCTCCTCCCACCGCATACGTCTACCTTCCACTTTCCTCTCTGCCTCCTCCTCCCTTCTTCATTTCTTTCTCTTTATCCCACATCATTCTCCTGCCGTCCACTATCTCCCTCCTTCCTTCTTACACCCACTTCCCCCTTCCTCCCTCCCTCCCTCCCTCATCCCTCCTCCTCTACCCTCTTCCTCCCTTCCTTCTTCTCTCGCATCATCCTCCAACCTTCCATTTTCCTCCTCCTTCCTCCTTCTTTATCCCTCCTTCTCCCCCTCCTCCTTTCTTTCTCCTTTCTCTTTCTATTGATTTAGCGGTGTAATTGAATATTCGGTTCCCGGGCCATTTCACTTTTCCCTCTCGGTATCATTTCTTGATTGGCCTACTAACTGTTATTGGCAGCAGATTGGGTCTCTCTTTTTTCGCTTTACAGTTATTTTTACATGAAGTTCCTGTCGTTTTTTTTTTTTTTTTTTTTTTTTTTTTTTTTTTTTTTTTTGCTTATGATTATTGATATATGTTTTTGTTTTTATTAGTTTTTGCAAATTTAACGTTAGCTCTCGAGTTCTTGATGTCTATTGTTGTTGTTTTATGGATTTTAAACGTTGCTTTCGCTTTTTTGTAATGGTATTTAGCGAAGTTTTGATTGGTATTATTATTATTATTATTATTATTATTATTATTATTATTATTATTATTATTATTATTATTATTATTATATTTATTCTTTATTTTTTAAACTTAATTTGAAGTCTTATCCAACGTTGCTTTATATCGTTGTTTTTGGACTCGGCGTCTCTCAGTTCGAAGGACGCACCGGGCTTGCATATTTTTTATTTTTTAAACTTAATTTGAAGTCTTATCCAACGTTGCTTTATATCGTTGTTTTTGGACTTGCATATTGATTAGCTCGAGTGGGTGGTTTATTTCATTTGTTAATTGGTGTATCTAGAAGTCGGGATATTAAATACTTGATGACCGGAAGGTAAAGAGGAAAGAGGAGAGGGAAAGGGAAAGGGAATGATGGAGAGGGAGGGGGAATGAGGAAATGGAGAGGAAAAGGAAG